TATATATATATATATATATATATATATATATTATTCTTTTTCTTCGTATTAAATTGAAAAAATCATGTATTATTTATATTTTTATTGTATTTTGTAGTTTAAAAATTTTCCTTAAGAATAAGAATGAATTCCAACAATATATAGCTGGACGAATTTATTTTTCATTTCTACTTAAAAATTATAAAAAAAAATTATTATAATTTAATTATTCGTTTTTAATTGTAACATCCCAAAAATACAGCTTGAAACTATATAATAGAATAATCACATTTAATAATATACAGATCAGTCTTACACTAAGAAGAGCGTACGGTTATGGCCGAACGACCTTACAAAGCAGTACGAGAAAATAAAACTGAACAGGGGTACAAATATGACCAAACGATTTACAAAAGAAAATATCGAACGTTCATACTAAACAAAAGGGATGGTTATCGAACGACCACCTTACTATAAACTAAACTATTGACCGAACGTCCTACTGTTCGGTCTTAACTTCAACCTCAACTAGGCTTTCTTCCTCCAGCGCCTCTTCCAGCAACTCGTCTCCTTCTGTTCACATCCACACGGATGATCATTGCAATGACAAAGACGAACGTACAAAACAAGACAAGACAAGAAACACAGGGTAAGCTTATGTAATTTAATTCAGGTATAAACATACATTTCACACAATCAAACACACAAAATCAATTTCATCATACGTTTCATACAAAGCCTAATACTAGACTGACTGTCCAGACTGTATGAAATCTGTGTAGCTATAGGAGTTCGTGCACCCGGGTGATGTACTAACTGGGATACCCTCAACAGCTACCACCCGAGGTTAGTCCTATCTATCCAAATTAACCATAAGGACTAGGACCTCCTGCCGTTCCCACACATGACCTACCCTCCTCTACGTGAGGACGAGTACTCACGGAACATCAGGATGAACCGCCAGCTTAGCATGCCACATTCATACTTTACCAAATCCAATATTCATTCATGAGTCATTCCTCCCCGGAACGCTCGTCCATAATCCAACACATTTCATCCATATCATATTCTCTTCATCTTTCATTATCAATCATCTTAATTTCATTTTTCATTATCCATTATCTTAATTTCATCTTTGTTCAAAGATTATTAAGGACACCAAATACCGAACGTTCAATCCTCACTCAGAACAAGAACGAACACTTGGAACGAGATAGAGAGGTCTCTAGTTCCAGAATAGATTAAGACCGAGAGGGTTACTGTCGGTTTAAGAAAGAAACCGAGTACAACTATATATATATATATATATCACAAGAACGACTAGAACAAACATTACTTACAAAGTGAGCCAATTAGATGAACTGACTCTTGAGAGCCCCAACCGAATGCTGAAAAGACCATGCCAAGTACTAAGACTCTAGGCCGGAACCATTCGATATAGACACTTCAAGACATTCCAATAATAATACTTAGGAGAATTCACATGAAGAAACCGAACGCTGACAAATACTTAGTTTATTTGAATTTACATCAAGAAATCTGAATGTCAGTCAATGACCGAGCACGGTAAGGAGAAAAACCCTATTGAAGTTGGACGAACGCTATTTTCATCAAAATAAATTATAAAAGAAACGAGTACGAGTGCTTAGTGTAAGACCGAGCACTACTCAGTACGAGCGCTTGGTGTGAGACCGAGCACTACTCAGTATGAGCGCTTGGTGTAAGACCGAGCACTACTAAACTTATAATAGAAGGTTTGATAAATATAATAAGATACCATTTGGAGTAGTGTTTAAGAACAAACTAAAATATATAAATACATATACATATATACTTAAGTTTATAACCGAACGCCAAGAACCAACTATGCTTTGCCGAATACTCATGCATGGTATTTCGAAACGAAGACGCTCGTCCTCAACTAGGATTCTTCCCAAATGAAAGAATCGAATTCTAACCAAGTTCACTAGAAAAACCGAACGGTCAAGAACCGTTCAGTGACGAACGTACACTTTCATTGGGAATTTCATACTTCGAAATCATTTATCTCGATTAAATTTCTCAACATATATCTTCATAATTTCATATATTTATATCATAGTCAATTTTCATACTTCATACAATCCATATCATAGAAATTTCATATATTTCATACATCAGAACATAGCACCATCATATTTCATTTCCAATCATCAAATCAACGAACGTTCATGCAGCACAGAAACATACAAATTAAATTAGATAAGATTCCCTTACCTCTGAGCGTGAACGAACGTTCCTAGAGACAGAATACGGTTCGCCTGACTATAATTTCCTTCTACCCTCAACGCTCAACAACTCTTCAAACCAAAATCAAACAACAGACCAAAATGGTTTAGAATGAGACTATGAACTCATGCAACCAGAACTTGGTTAGCATGTGCCAGAGAACGAACCGCTAAGGACAAGAGGAACTTACCAATTCAGAATTCGAAACCAATTAGTTCAAACTGAAGCTCTTGACGCCGGAAGTGCTTCTACGATGCCTGAAGGGTGATCGGAGAAGAGAAAGGGTGAGATTTCGTAGAGAGAATGGAGAGGTTTTTAGAGAGAAGAAGGAGAAATGAAAATTTTCAGAGTTTGAGGAAGAAGGTACATGCAGAGAGTGTGACGTGAATTTTTCCAAAAATCAGTTTTGCTTCCCACTTCAAAACGAACGTCCGCTCATCTATCGACACCTGCATTCCACTGATTTCCGGATCCCCTCCGCTTGACACCTGACGTCCGTTCAGAGGGTTTTTGGATGCGTTTTTAATGATTCTGACATTAATGATGATCCATTTTAAAATATTTAATTTTAAAACTTATTTTCTACATAATTTTTATTCAAATTTTAATTAGTATTATTTTATTGAAATTTTAAGTAATAAAATAAGTAAATGGGTATTAAATATCAAAGGGTTACGTAAATGTCATTTAAGACTACTTTAACTTTGAGGGAAGGAACTTAATTTTCCATTTTTATTTATTATTTATTGTGCTTGAGTAAGAAAAATTTCCATTTTTATTTATCGTGCTTGACTAAAAAGGTTTTCACTTTTTATATTTTGTGCTGGATTAAGAATTTTTTTTTTTTGGTGAATTCACCCATGCCATTTGTATGAAATCCCCATCCTTATTCTGAGGCATTGATATGAAGAAATAGCAATTGATTATTTTTACAGTTTACTTCTTGCATTTACTTTTTAAAAAAAAAAAACTATTTTTAATACTAATTTTTCAAAAATAATTTATTTGTTTAAAAAATTATTAATATTCTTTATAACAAAATGTTAAAAATAACAAAAATTTAAACATTTTATAAGTTTTAATTAAAAGAATAGGAGCTAATAGCCTTACTCAAAACAAAACACTATTTTATTTAGGTTTAATTAAATTGAAGTATATAATTAATTTTGATATTTTTATTGAATTCTTATTATACAAATTGTTATATTGAGTGTTGATTTTTATTTTTTTTTTCAAAAACGATTTTATAGCTCAATTTTATGGTGAAATCATATAGTTGTTATTTTTGTTTTTCCATCAACTATTTATTCTATTTTCAATCCCCTCCAATTCTTAGGTCAATTAGTTTTTTTTTAAAATATAAACATAAATCTTTCAATCTTTCCACACCTTTTTAACACCTAATAAAATATTAATATTTTAATTTTTCTAATTGATTCATCATGATTTATTTTATATTTTAAAATAAAAATAATTTTTGTTGGTGTTAAATAATAGAAAATATAGTGTTTACATATCATCACCGAAAAGAAAATAAACAAGTTAACTATACTTAAAATGTGACAGAAAGTGACAGTCAAATTATTCCATTAATAAATATTTAAAAAACTAATAAAAGCTTCATTAAAGGTAACTAAATTCAAGAGATTTTTAAAACTGAACTACATCAAATTTCTAAATACTAAAATGATGTAACTTATTGATAAGTACAAGATAAAGTTAAAATTATACATAAACATAATAATAATTCAAAAAAATTGAAAGATGTCTCTTTAATCACTTTTATAAAAAATATTATTCAATTTTACAGTGAGTAAAACTAACTTAAATCAAATTTCAAAATATAAACTTAATTTAATTGAAATCTTATGTTAAAGTAAATGAAATCTTATTTAATGAAAAATGAAATACTCCAGATAACACTATGCTGCATATGCCATGTTTTTCCTTCTCATATCAGTCACTTCTATTGCTTTTACGTTGAAATTCGCAAAAATGCCTCAACTCTATCAAATAGGAAAACCAAACTTTACACTTTTAGTAATTCTCAGAATATTTTCACTGTTCCCGTACATGAAAGGCATCAGCATATCTTATAAAAATATTCTAAATTTTCATCTTTCTTAATACCCACATGGCTAAAACTCACGTTCATATAATCAACCAATTAATTGAACCACATGAATTATCTGTTGATTAATTAAGTTGATGATCAGGAATATCAGAAATGAATCCACCTTTTTTCTTTCTGACAAATTCTAAAACGAGAACCAAATTCATTAGTTAAAGCCACCACCACTAGCTAGTGCCCTCTACACACTCTCTGTTCTTCAAACTTCATTCATTTACACTGCTTAATGACACACACACCTATAAATATGCTGCATTTCAACATCTCTAAATACACAAACTCTCAAAATCAAAATCTGGACTGTTTTTCAATCTTTCCATACACTTCATACATATATCTTTCATGGCTTCCCTTGATGGTCAGAAAACTAATGAAACTTCATCGAATCATGTTGAGATTCCTGTCGGTGTGGAGCCAAAAGCAAACCGAGAAATCGTTGAAGAGAGAAACATAGACTATTCCCAGAGGGCGAATTGGGTGCGAGCAGCAGTGTTAGGAGCGAATGAAGGTTTAGTCTCGGTTGCATCATTGATGATGGGTGTTGGAGCTGTTAAGGAGCAGATGACAGCGATGCTTCTTGCTGGTTTTGCAGGGTTAATTGCCGGGGCATGCAGCATGGCGATAGGAGAGTTTGTGTCTGTGTACACTCAGTATGACATAGAAATAGCTCAAATGAAAAGAGAGAGAGAAAAGAAGAGTATTAGTGATGGAGTGAGTGAAGAAGCTGAAAGGGAAAAGTTGCCAAATCCATTTCAGGCTGCCGTAGCATCGGCTCTAGCATTTTCTGTGGGTGCAGTGGTGCCACTGCTGTCTGCTGCATTCATAAAAAACCATAAAATAAGACTTGGTGTTGTTGTTACAGTGGCTAGTCTGACATTGGTGGTGTTTGGTGGGTTAGGAGCAGTGCTTGGAAAAACTCCAATCACAAAATCTTGCCTTAGGGTGCTCATTGGAGGATGGATGGCTATGACTGTAACATTTGGCTTCACCAAGTTATTTTCCTTTGCTGGGATTTGACTCTTTTCTCTTTTTAATTCTTTTCTTTTTCTCCTTCGATTGTTAGAAAAAGAGATGTCAAAAAGAGTTAAGTCAAATCCATATTATATTACTAATACCTTGTTAAATTTCAATTTATGGATAT